GATAAGGAGGATCTTTTGCACTAGCTTTGTGAAGAATTTTTGGCCCTATTACATTTGGTCCATACAACAAGGAATTAGCCACTGGAATATTCAAACTTGGAAGGGCTGCAGTAGCATGGTGCAAAAATCCCAAGTAATTCTTCCTCCTACCTCCTCTGTCTCCTTGCTGAAGTCAAAACGCCTCTCCATGTCTGCATACTTCTTCCAGTAGCCGTAGCAATAGGGGTAGTGAGCAAAAAACGCATCAAAGGCTTTTCGTGCTGCAAAGATGTGATTCTGCACAGAGAGAAGACAGCAGAAGGGGAATAAGAATGTGTGAAGTGCCCTGGAACTGGGAGAGCTGGAAACCAAACCCTGCCAGCCCCAAAGCAACCTTACAGTTAGAGCTTGTAGGAGAAGCAGGGTACATACACACACAGTATCATTTGTGTTTCAGTTCTGAAATTCTCTTTCATAGGATGGGTTTCCTTAGTCAGATAACTCCCATGATGCATTGCAGTCTCTCCCTCTTTGTGAGTAAGGATGTAAGAAGTCATTCGGGCACTGCACTATAAAGCTTATATAGAAGAATATATAAATATATATGCATATACGCACGCACGCACAGAGTTTATACTGCAGAGCCTGCAGGGAAGCAGACTCCCCAGGAGTGGGGCTGGCAGGTGCTGCTGGTCCCACTCCCAGGGAGGATTCACTGCAGTAGGGATGTTAAATATCAATTAATTAATCAAATAGTCGATGGGATTTCCATCAACTATTCGATTAGTCCATGTTCCGACTTTGAAATGTACAAAAGTCCCACTGGGGACTCTTGTGCATTTCAAATATTGAAATGCCATGTGGAGTCCGGGGCCAGCAGGGAGTCCCCCATTAACCACAGGCTCCATGCGGCATTGTAAGTGAAACACATAAGAGCCCTGCCTGGGGCTCTTGTACATTTCAAAGCGGAAGTGCTGCATGGAGCCAGAGGTCAGGAGGGGATTCCCCACTGGTCCTGGCTCCACCCAATGTTTCAATCTTTGAAATGCAAAAACTTGTACATTTCAAAAAGGAAGCACCGCCACTGCACCCCTACCCCATCCCACTGAGCAGGAAGGAACTGGCTTTTAAGCCAGCTCCCCCCAGCACTCCTTCCTTTCCCCCCCCCTTGCTGCCTCTGTGATAGAGACAGTAAGGGGGGGAATGTAGATGCACCTTAAGTGTGATACTTTACAATTGCCTTCCTTGAATTTCATCCTATTGATTTTCAAATTACTTCTCCAATGTGTCAAGGCAATTTTGAATTATACTCCTGTCCAAAATGTTAGCAACCCCTCCCAGCTTGTATCATTCACAATTTTTTTATAAGCATGCTCTCCACTGCATTATCTAAATCATAAATGGAAATATTGAATAGTACTGGACCTTGGACTGACCTTGCAGGACCTCCCTAGATATGCCCTCCCAGTCTGATAGTGAATCATTTCATAAAAAGTCTTCGCGAATAAAAACTGGACATGGTCTTTTAGCCAATTATATGTACCCATCACATAGTTATTTCATTTAGACAGCATTTTTCCCTAGTTTGCTTATGAAACTATAATGCAGAAATATATCAAAAGTCTTGCTAAAGTCCAGACATATCACATCTACTGGTTCCCCCCATTCACTAGGCCAGTTACTTTGTCAAAGAAGGAAATTATTTTCCGGCGTATAGGGTGACTGGGCGTATAAGACGACCCCCTATTTTTTTAATTAAAAGATAGGGTTTCATCTTATACCCCAGCGCCCCTCCGCCTCCTTTGCTCCCGGTGTCCCTGGTCTGCTGGAGATGGTCCCCAGCAG